AATTTCATGGGCTTTTTGCCTCAAGATTCTTAGAGTGCCAACTTGAGCAAGGATATGGGTGCTTTTTTATTTTTTTATATTTGTATTTGTGTATATTTTTAAAGTGTGATATGAAGAAGTAATAACAGGATGTATTATCAGGGAAGGTTATGGAATTTTTAAAAAATCTATTAGATTAAGGTAGACTCTTAAGATAGTTTAGGAATGAGTGGTCTACTTAAAGGGAAAGGAATGGGTTACCTTTTGTCCAGTCGTTTGATTATTTAATACCTATTTCATATACTCTATAAATCAATTTTGGTTTGAGAATAAATTCATTTTTAGAAAATCCAGGGATTTTTACATTGCCATTTGTTTGTCAGAATTACTACCTTTTAAGAAGATATGTGGTAAGATTGGCTTGTCTGTATAAACTAGCTAATTTAGTAATAGTTCTACTGTGACATTATGCATTTTAAGATACAAAATGATTTTCCTCAGAACGCAGACTTTGATTTTCAAGTCTTTCATTGGTGTCATGTGGGAATTAATGTTTAATCCCTTGCTATTTGACACTCCTAACAGAAGGGTGTTTCCTTTGTGTGCTTTGTCATGTCATTTTCAAAAGTTAAGACCTCTTTTAGGCTGGTTGAGGTGGTTAAATCCCTTCAGGGAAAGAATGACCAATGCTGTGCTCCTTAACAGAAAACTAGAGGTAGTGGTTTCAGATTTTGAGATCTGCTCTGTAAAGGGACACCATTCATTATGTTTATTCATTGGTTCTTGAACGTTCTGTTGTTTCTTATCAGTTGGGTCTTCCTTCCCTGTAGATTTGTGATTTCTACTGTACCTTTGAAAGCATTAGAGAGGTACCTCTTCCAGTAACAAAACAAAAAATGGACTATAGTTTAATACCTTAATTTACAAAGTTAATGGTGAGGCTTGGACCTTTATAATTGAAAGCTGTTAGTTTACTTTCATTCTATGATTTTAGATATGAAAGTACATTCTGATGTTATACTACTTGCAAGAAATTTTTTCCTTAGAATAATTTAATCCTAGTAGAACTTTTTCTTCTTTACGTTTATTTTAATTTTTTAAAAGATGTTTATTATTTATTTGCGAGAGCAAGTGAGCACAAGCAGAGGGGAGAGGCAGTGGGAGAAGCAGACTCCCCACTGAGCAGGGAGTCTGACGTGGGGCTCTATCTCAGGACCCTGGGATCATGACCTGAGCTGAAGGCAGACGCTTAACTGACTGAGCCACCCAGGTGCCCCTCTTCTTTATGTTTAAAAGAAACTTTCTTTTCTTCCTTTTTATAAAGATGTTTTATAAACAGGTTATAGTCCCTGCTTTGTTTAATGTTTTCTAATAGTAAGCCAAAAGATCCCTAAATTTTAGTGTTTAAGAATGGTTTTTTCCTAGTAAGTATGGAAGTTTTCAGAAATTGTTAGCAGTCTATAATTTGGCCTACATGTACAGATTTCCTTATTCAGGAGTTAGAATGGATTTGAGGGGTAAATCAGAAGGAACACTCATTGGATTATTACAATTAAAATGCTTGAAAGTTCTTCGAATAACATCTCTTCAAATCTTAGAGGTTGTTATAGTTTTATAAGAACTAGTATTATAGTTGTTTTTTTGAAAAGTGAAATGATTTGTTTGAGCTTAGAGTTACTCTGAGAGGAGGGATACTAGTTGCTCATTTTCTGTTAAACCAAAATGTTTCATTTGGGACATTAGTTTTTTCTCAGCATGGTAATCCAAAGCTTAAATATGTGAGAAGGTAATAACTACTTTTTCATATTTCTTCTACTCTGTCTGCAGGTTGTAAAAATTAAAATGAACAAACTACGGCAAAGTTTTAGGAGAAAGAAAGATGTTTATGTTCCAGAGGCCAGTCGTCCACATCAGTGGCAGACAGATGAAGAAGGGGTTCGTACTGGAAAATGTAGCTTCCCAGTTAAGGTAAGAGCTCGTGTTTCTATAATTCTAGATGTGGAAAAGAATTGACAGCCTATTATATGTGAAATCCCATTGATTAGGACAATTAAAAGAAAATCCTCTAAAAATGAATCCCTTCATCTTCTGCTTCAAAGTAGAATTAATAAGAAAAATATAATTAGTGATTTTTTTTCTCTTTATATTTTAAACAGGAATTTCTGGTATATAATCTGGAATCACTACAAATAAGATCACTTCTGATGAGAAACTAATCCTGAAATATCTAAAAATCCCAAATTACCAGGAATCAAATTATTTTGAGTGAGATATACTTACTAAGTGGTAGGGCAGAGGGAAGAGGAGTCTGTTTTCTTAAATACAGGCCTGGTATGTTCTAGAAAATCTTAAAAGAGTTAAAAGGGATTTTCTCTTTAATCTTTTAACTGGTAACTGTACAGAGGGCATTTAAATTAATGCCTTCATTTGTCAGATCAGAAAATGGAAGCTCAAAGAAGTTAAGAACATAGTGAAGATTAGAGAAGGGGTACCATACAGGTGTTTTTTCTTACTACTACTTGACACTCTGGAGAAAAAAGGTAACATTTAAAGTCATGAAAGAAATGTACATGCTATACTGTTTAGTGAGAAGCAGTTTATAATTATATAAGCAGTCTATGAGATGTATTAAGTGTGGACACAAAAATACAGAAGGAACTAGACCAAAATGTTAATATCTTCAAGAAGAAAACTTAGTTTAATATAAAATGTTAATATTTTCCCCTGCTTTCTACATCTTCTTATGTGTGAATATTCTTACTGTGATTTTCTCCTCCTTGTACTGCCTCAGCACCATTGATTGAAACATAGCCTGAAGCTTCAGAAAGGAGAAAAATTTGTATGACAGGAAAAGTGATTTGTAGAATCTACAGGTTAAATAAATACATGTTTTTTTTTTTAAGATTTATTTATTTAAGAGAGAGCACGAGTGCATGTGCACATGGGAGGGGCAGAGGGAGAGAGAGAATTTCAGGCAGACTCCCCACTGAGCAAGGAGCCCAACACGGGGGCTCAATCCCACAACTCTGGGATCATGACCTGAACCGAAACCAAAAGTCGGATGGCCAACCAACTGCACCACCCAGGTGCCCCAAAAATACATGGTTTTTAAAATACACAAATTTTTCCATAGTCTGTCAATAACTAAACATTTTCCTAATTACTTAGTTTTGTCTACTTAACTCATTTGCTGAAACTTCTTTTATAGGAATAATAAACTTAAATTTTTAATTTAAAGTTTTGGGTATGATATTAAAATATGAAAAAAAACCCTCATACATAAAAACTAACACTGTTCTCTACAACATCCTCCACCCTCATCCCAAGGAGTAGGCTCATTTTGATTGTACAAGTTGAGTATCATGGAAATGGGTACTCTTAACACATTGTTGATTACTTGGAGTATAAATTGCAACCTATTAGGAGGGCAATTTGGAAATATCAGTTAAAATTTTATTTTATTTTTAAAACTTGAGGTTTACATTTTGTTTTAAAGATTTTATTTATTTGTCAGGGATGAGAGAGAGAGAGAGAGAGCACAAGCAGGAGGAGCAGAGAAGCAGGCTCCCCACAGAGCAGGGAGCCCAATGTGAGACTCTATCCCAGAGTCCTGGGATCATGACCTGAGCTGAAGGCAGACACTTAACCCACTGAACCACCCAGGTGTCCCAGTTAAAATTTTAAACGCACTTTTCATTTGACCAGAAATTCTACATTTAAGAATTACATTTAAGGGCACCAACTCTTGATCTCAGCTCAGGTCTTAACTTCAGGGTCATGACTTCAAGTCCTGCATTGGGCTCCATGCTGGGCATGGCGCCTACTTAAAAAAAAAAGAAAGAAAGACTGAGAGAGAGAAGAGAAAGAAAGAAAGAAAAGAAAGAAAGAAAAAGAGAATGAAATTTAAGTGGCACCTGTCTGGTTCAGTCAGAAGAGCATGTGACTCTTGATCTCAGGGTTGTGAGTTCAAGCCCTACATGAGTATGGAAATTAATTTAAAAAATAATAATAATAACCTTAAAAAAATTGTGGCAGGCAAACCATAAGAGACCCTTAACTATAGAGAACAAACTGAGGGTTGATGGAGGGGAGGTGTCGGTGGGGGATGGGCAAAATGGGTGATGGGGATTAAGGAGGGCACTTGTTGTGATGAGCACTGGGTATTGTATAAGTGATGAATCACTAATTCTATTCCTGAAACCAGTATTACACTCTTATGTTAACTAACTAGAATTTAAATACAACTTGAAACAAAGAATTACATTTAAGTACATTCATAGGTATACTGACTGACAGAAGTGTTCATTAGCATTGTTTGATAGCAAAAATCTGGAAACAAGTTAAGTAGCCATCATTCTGGGATTTGCTAAAGAAATTATGACATCCAGGGCAACCCTCTCAGGTCCCCTCCCTCTTCGGAAGCTTTGTACTTTATCACTCAATAAACTTTGTACTATCACTCAAAAAAGAAAGAAAGAAAGAAAAAGAGATTATGACATCCGTTAAGTGGAATTCTTTGCCACTCTTAAGGAACAAGGTAGACCTTTATTCATACATTTAGTAAATTTTTTGAAGACCTACTATGTGCCAGGCATATGCTAAGTGGTAAACAAAAAGTTCTTGCTCTTGTAGAGTTTATGTAAGTATCCTTGTGGGAGTATAGACTTTAATTAGATATTTGCATTAATAATACATGATTATAAACTGAGATAAATGCTTTTCAAAAAGGGAAGGCTGTAGTATAAGAAGTTATATGAGATGAACCTGGAAAGAATTAGGGTGGGGCCTTATAGGTCATGTTAAGGATTTGGGAATTTAAGAATAATAGGAAGCCACTACCTGGTGTGGTTTTTTTTTCATTATTTATGTATTTTATTGTCGTAAAAGAATAACAAAATTTACCATTTTAACCATTTCCATGTGTACAGTACGGTAACATTAATGACATTCATATTGTTGTGCAGTCATCAGCACCATCCATCTCCAGAACTTTTCATCTTCCCGAACTGGGACTCTGGGTGTGGTGTGGTTTGGAGGTAGTCCATAGTGGATGTGAAGAGTCTGGTGAAAGATTATTACAGTAATCCAAAGGAGTGGATTACTCTGGACTAGGGTGGTAACTGTTGAGAAGAAAGAAACGCAAGTAAATTGAGAGATAATTAAGAGATAAAGGCAACAGGAATTGGAAATGGACTGGACCCAGGGAATGAATGGTGTTAAGGATGACACCTAGTTTCTTGTCCCAAACTGATAGAGGTGATGATCATTGACATAGGAAACAGTGAAAGAATATTCTCTGATATGCTCACACAGAAAGATAACTTTAATGTATTATTAGGTGATAAAGGCAAGGCCCAGGACAATGTATATAATATGATTCTGTTTATAGTTAAAAAGAAAAAAATCTATATATCTGCTTATGTATATAAGAAATATCTGTAAGAAGACACAAGTAAATCTGAATTATAGAATGGGAATGAAGGATTGGGGATCTTTTTACTTTTCGATGTATATCCTTTGGAACTAGTGACATTTCTTATGAGCATGTATCATATTTGTAATAAATAAGCATATATGTATATTTAAAAAAACCTCATTCACAGGATTCTGAGAGGCTGGTATATAGTATTGAAATAGTTGAAGTAAAGTTAATTGAACCACTTCCCATTGGCTGTGAAATGTACAGCTTTTAAATATTTTCTTTTTAAAGATTTTATTTATTTATTTGATGCAGAGAGAGCACAATCAGTGGGGGGAGCTACAGGCAGAAGGAGAGGGAGAAGCAGGCTCCCTGCCAAGTAGGGAGCCCAATATGGGCCTCGAATCTAGGACCCTGGGATCATGACCTGAGCTGAAGGCAAACACTTAACTGACTGAGCCACCCAGGTCCACCAGCTTTTAAGTATTTTGTGTGAGATAAATAAGATTTAGTATCATTCAGTGCTACTGTCATTTGTCATAAGAAACAGTTGATGGGGATGTACTTTAGAGATAAACATGTAAGATGTAAGATTTACATGTTATGCAGGCAGGGGAGCTTATTTAGGGTGTTTTTTGTATGTTCTTCTCTAGATGGCCTCTTGAAATCCTTTCTACAAGACATTCATCCTCTCTGCTAGGCTGTGGCTCCACACCCCTTATCTGCCTTCCCTTCCCACCCTGCATGCATATACAAGTGACACATGGTTGGATAAGAGAATCAGAACCTGAAATTATTTTCAGTACCCTAAAAATAGATAGATTTCCTCAGTCAAATATAGCTGAGCAAATAATGTCTTATTTGTTGTTGCCTTAGGGACCACTGAACTCTGAACCTAATGAGTTGATGTAAAAAGTTCCCCATATAGACAACTAGTAGGGTGGTGGGCATGCTCACTGAGGAAGAACATGTTTGAGAGTAGAGAGGATGAATTCCTTTTGAGGTGCCTATGAGATGTGTACATGCAGATCCCCACTCACCACAAGCACCATGAATTTTGATTTTGATATTACAAATAAATTCTAGTAGGTAGTTTGCAAATATGGAATCCTTGAATAATGAGGGTTGACTATATATAACTTACCATTGAAGTCATGAGTAAGTGAGATTGCCTAGAGGAAGTAAGGAAGGGGAGTGTCTAGGACAAACATAGAAGGGACAGGCCGTGAATGGGTATCTTCAAAGGAGAGTGAGAATGACAGGTAGAAAGGGAAACTGAAGAGTATGATCTCAGAAGGCAATGTTTCAAGGAAGGAGAAAGTGGTCAAATGCTATAAAGAGATCAAGGAAGAAATGAAACTACATTAGATTCAAAATTTGAAAGTCTTGGTGACTTTGGTGATAGCACTTATGGGGAGTCATGAGGATGGAATCTAGCTTGAGGAGTGAATGGATGCAAAATAAGGAAGAAGATGACAAATCTAGAGATTACTAATTCAAGAAGTTTGTCAGACAAGATTGTGTGAGGATGGGAAGGGGTGAAAGGGAA